TTTATCGAAGTTACAGTTGGATGAAATCAAAAAATATCAAGACTTGAAAAATGCAATACAACAATAAATTCGGGACAAATGTGTAGAATTGAAATGAAAACAACAATTATCAGTTAACTCAGGTACTTGAAATTCGAAAAAAAAAGCCTCATCTCAGCGATTGATTCGAAGAGATGTGGATTTTGACATGTAGCGAAAGTCTTGTAATTCGGACCGAGTAGGTCATCTATTACATTGAAACAAAACCCAACGCTCAAGTCGGATTTCGAAATAAATTGCTGTCGAAAGTTCTTCTCATAATATAATAATAATAGGGTAGGTGAAGTGAATACGCCAATATTTTCAATACGCCCACACAGTAGAATTCTGCTACCTAAATGCGTATTCGCCGTTAGGTGTAACTTGAAAATGTGCCGTCATGATAGAGACGCGTGTGCTGAAGTAGTTCAGTGCGTTTCTACGAGTGATGAATACAGCTGTTCCCTTTTCTTGGTGTCCTGGTAAATAAAAATACTGTTATTTCTGACAGAAAACAATCTCTTCGAGATCGATTATAGGAATCGTTGATACTCCTGATGTTTTATTTTGTTCCGTTTCATTCCATGTGTTCATTCGCATTCTATAAAATTTAACAATTGAAATAAAATTGAATAACTTTGCACTATTACCTACTGTTCATATGTCAACACTCATTGAAAGCTAATATGCCTACTTGGCATATTACCGTCATTTTTATGAATTAGCTTACAATTCTTGATTCGAAATTCATTGCATCATGAAAGTCGCAACTGAACCGTCCACAATGAACAGAGAATAATCTTCAATGTACCATAGCAGCATTTTCTGGGTGTAGATCAAGAGAATCAGTCTCGGATGAGTTCGATACATCGGGAAGAACATGAGAGTGTTTTTTGGCTAGGATCACGAACAAAAAACGGAAACTTGGTAGAAAAAGTGTTCTCAGTCTCGATTAGGAAGCCGAATTGGTATTCAGAATAATTGAATCATGAGAAGTTGGTTACCCAATGACGAAACGGATAGTTCGACGATATGTCTTCGATTATTGCGAGAAAAATTATATTCTCAACACATTCTGCAATGAAAACAGACTAGCTGGATTCTAAGAGTCAGGGATATTTGAAATGGAGATCGATAGATTGTTATCTGATAAATCCCTTATGAGTTGACAATAAGAGGAGCAGTAACAGATGGAACGATCGGAGATAAACGAAAGAGAATAAGATGAGGGTTGTAAGTATATAGTATATCCAGAGCGTTGGTAGGCCGTGTCCATCTGAAGTCTATCCAGTTGTCAAGCTGTCGAAGGCAATAGAGGGCTCTAGTTGTGGTTTGTGCTGACTTCTCCAGGTGCACAAGTGTTGACAATGACCAGAAGATGTTGTCGCCAAAGATTCACCTTGTCACTCATATTTCCACCAGTGTAAAAAAAATTATTTGCTATTCTCCTTGTCTTGTTGTGGTTTCTGAAGACTGTTCCAGGTGCTCAAGTATCGACAATAAAAAGAAGATGTTGTCTCCGAAGATTCACCTTGTCACTCGTATTTTCATTTGTCTCACCTGTGGCATCGAATTGATTTGCGATTCACCTTGTCACCTATGTGTGTGTGTTTCACTACAACTATTACATTCAGTTGATCACTTCAATATGTCACCTATTGGTTTCTCCCACCTGTATCACCTGAATCTCTTGTTCCACTTACTTTACTGATTCACGATTATACGTTCCAAATTCTGGTTTCACAGACCTCAATCACATTTTGTACAAGTTAGGAATATCGATTCGATATAGCAAACCTACAAAGAGGTCAATATCATCATGTATCCGGTATTGCATAATATGTAATAGGAAGATAACATGTTTCTATTATGAATATCTAACATTCGAAATACATTGATCTTCAGTTATTCAAACTAGTTATCGTGAATCATGAATAATGTTTTCATCAAATGAAAAAATGTATGTATCATTCAACCAATACATTCATGAAATAACCGATGGATATCCTCAACCGGACATCCTGAACATCCATATGATAACCACTTTGTGTTCACAGGACATCCTACGGATGCCCATAGGATATGAGCTTTCCAGATTTCAGGACATACATGGGTTATCCATGATGGACATCCATTCGGAATCCATGATGGACAACAAAAGACAGATTAGGTTATTTTTTCATCATCTCAATTATAGTTCATGGGAGAAACCTTGAGTATATATCATATAATGAGAAAATGGATAGTTCCTACTGAGGACGATAACAAATTGGAAAAGAAGTGGTTCAAAGTACACCTTGAACTCTATAGGTACTGCTCAAGGTTGGTAGAACTGATGATTATTTTGTAGAGGAATTATAATCTGTTCTACCAACCTTGGTACTGCTCCGAATAAAATATAATATATTTCCTCTGCCACTTCATCTACTCATTTGAAAACTGTTGAATCAAACAGCAGTGGACATTCAGAGTGCGTCATGCATGAGCCACATGTTGCGACTCAGGTGTTCCATGAATTATTATCGTCAGTTATAGTCGATAAGGCAAGATAATGGGATGAAAATTACTCAAACTGCGAAATTTTCAATGATTCCTGCCTACACATCATCTGTTGTCATATCATTCAAGAGTTTGTCAACATTCGGAATAATCTTCTTTATTGCATAGTAGGTACGTCGGAAGAGCCTGGTTCGAATGCTATTTTCTCTGTTCATTCTGGTCACACTCTGGTAAAGGGTATTTTACCTACTTTTTCAAGAAATATGTTATGTTATCGTAACAATTTACAATTAGGAACATCTGATGGATAGACACAAAGATAATAAGAACTTACCCGTAACGTGAGGGCCGTATGGAGGTGAAAACTGAGGCATAATTCAACGATGAAATACTGGATGTCATCATAAGAGTCCAACAAAACAAATGAGTTGAATGAACATAACCTATATTATATTTCGAATTATGGAAGATTAATTCAAACTTTCTCCTTATCATCAAACTTCTCTCAGAATCTGTCGACACGATGGACATCCCGACAATGAACTTATCAATGTGTACTGCCAAGTGTCTGGTATGGAAATCCAAGTAGATATTCGATGTGCGTCCATAGACATAAATAGGCTTCCAGATGGAGTACACACTAGATCATCAGCTGGATATACAACGATTTAGATTTGGAGATGGTTCCATTTGGCGTCCATGGACGTCTTGGACTTCAAATGGATATAAAATAGATGTCATCTGCATAACGTGTGTTATTAGGTAATACCCATTTTTTTTTATACGTAGAAAATGAAATGGAAATACCTTTTTCCGCAAGTGATATGGTTAGAATGGAAGATATGAATACAAAAGATGAAAAACATCGTCTCATTGTGGACTCAAAGAGTTTTTGGATTTCATGGAACATCAAGATAGTGCCCTGGATGTGTGTTGCAATAAAAAATATATATTTAATAATGTAACAGTGAAATATTGGGCAGAGGATAGAATGAATCATGTGATTTCCACGGAATACGATATGGCATTTCGGATTCATCTGGATGAAATTGGGAGAATTCAAGTTGATGAGTTATGTGATATGTTGACTAGTATGTATCGATGTGAATCATTCATTCAGCAGAATTCTCAGAATGTATGTTCTATTTACTTGTACGGGTTGTTGAAAAACCTCCAGACGTACCCTCATCAGTAATTTGCTGATTTGGGGAGTGAGAAAAACTAAAATGATACGTTGTGAAACATATGAACGTAAACAGTATGATCAATCAATGAGAAGATGATGATGGATGTCCTGAAGAAAGGGAACATGACAAGTCTATATTATGTTTGTCGATTAGAGGTAGGAGATACTTACCACGAACGGAATTGAATTCATCTACTCCCCTCAATAAACGCACGAGCGGACTTACACCTGACACATTCTGGATCGAACTCTGAATCAGAAACAATCGAAGAATAGAAGAAGAGAAAACAGAGTTTTCATCATCTGATGATTCAAATCGTCCACGATAAATTAGTACTCGATCAATATCACAAAGGAATGAAAATCACTGATCAGATTGAATATCCTTTATAAATATCTATATATTGTAACATGAAAATTTATCTTTTTTCTCTAATTTTCAGTTCCTAGGCGAAGGTCATTATGTATCAGGTTTTTTGATGATAGATTTCGGTGTTAACAACTAGAGAGACACTCACACTATACATAATGTTTTAATTCATGGCACTCAAGTATTTACAATATTATTCCACCAATGGTCCAGAGTTTGAAGTGGTTCTTCACTCTTCACTCTAGTATAGAATATTGATGAAGTTGTAGAATACTCACCAGAAATAAGCTGCTCGATTCTTCATCAGTATAGTAGGCTTAGGTTGGAAAGATGTCCTGGTGTTGGCACTTCATGGTTTCACCTGAAAATAAATAAGTAGTTAGTGATTGTAAAACAATTTCAGATGGTAGATTATTTAGGTTTGAAGAATACCCTAACAATTGGCTGGAAATTTCGCTACGTCCCTTGAATTATTATGGTCTGAGATGAATTTTGAGATGATTGATTTCATATTGTTAATCAATAATAATGATTTGTTGATATTATGTTAGTGTATTTTTGACATTGACGTCTCAAAAAGAGTGACAGTGCTGTCATGTCATGTCACTTACCGTCATACGAGTAATACCTGAACAGTATCATTAAAAGTATGCTGGCTGCGAGATCAGCGGTGTAGGTGGTTCAATTGGTTCGGGCGGAGTAGGATGACGTTGGATCTTTGATCGGAATATGTTTTTATGTGTTCCGTGGTCATATGTTTGTTGTTTCATGGCAAGGAGAGTATACAGAGCAGGAGTGCTAGATCCCTATCTTCCAATGCATTCCCTAAAATGTGACGTCATGCTGATGCCTTTCGCATCTCTTTTGTTTTCTGTGATCATGCCGTGATCCTATTGGTCGAAATAATACACAAAACATAAACAAACATGGCTGAAATATTTAGCAAACGCGCGCTAATGTTACATCCTCAGAGTTACATCTTTCAAAGCTTTCCAAGGTTTCTTTGTGTGATTTGAGTGATTTGTGAGAAATTGTTCATGTTTTTTATTTATAAGTGATCACTCATCAGCTATCAACCATTGAATTACAGATTATAGAAAGAGGAAAGAGACTTTCGAAGCCTCCTAACCATTGTGAATTTGAGTGCATACAGAGAATTTTTACAGCCTGTGAGGTACTTTGCAAAGAACAACTTCATTGTGAGTATTGATTGTGATCCTTGTACATGAATACACATACCTACATTTGTATATTTCTCACAGATTAACCAATAAAATGCCTGGAATGTACTGTGCTGTTTATGGCCTATTCCAAAACTGCAGGTGCTGGTATTATTTTTCATAGCTTTCCTGGTTTTGTTACCATCAGACAAGAATGGATAACCAGATGTAGCAGTAAAACAACGTTCAATCCAGATTCAAGTAGGATGTGTTCTTGTTATTTCACAATAGGAGATTATGAAAGAGACTTGAAAAATGAATTATTAGGTAAAGATTGCATTTCTCACAAAACTATATGCTTGACTTACAGATAACAGTTGTATCTATCATGCATTTTGTTACAGGTTCACCCTTGAAGAGGATTTTGAAAAAAACTGCGATTTCCACACTGGAACTGGCAGAAATTCAAGAAAACTATGATGCAGGGCAGACACAAGACCATTCAGAAAAATTATTGGAAGTAGTCTGAAATGATACTGGCCAAGAACAAATACATCAAGTCCATTTAAGTCCAATCATCATCAAATGTGAACAGAATTTCATCAACTTTATACTATCTAGGTTATAGACAATTTGGGGAAAAGTACAAGAATATGGAAACAATGATTCAATGCCAGAAGATACAAATAGAAAAGATACATCTTCAATGAAGCTCTTGACATAAGTCAGCTTTTGAAAATTTGTAAAAAGGAAAGTTACTCTATATATGAAAAATTAGTATTTTTATTTTTCACAAGTCAAAACATTACTCAGTTTCAGATTAGCAATGCAGCTATTGAACAAAATCTGACAGATAATTATTTTTATGATCAAATTGCTTGAAATGTATTCTACAATGTTCATACCTACTCAAGAAAATTGTTATTGATAGGAAAGTTGGCCCTATTTTATCAAAACCTAATAACTTTGTTTCAGATTAGCCATAGAGCTTATAGGTTTTCAAATTTCAATATACAAAAACATATACTTAGAAATACTTACAGAGGTTGTTACCTTTTCAATTATTTTCAATATAAGCAAATGCTCCACTATTACTGTTCCCACTGAATAAAATGAATTGATTTCAAGTCTTGTTTTTATTCCCCTATAGACCAATAAGGAAATTAAAGTTTTTTCAGAAAATCAAATTTATAATTTTCAAATTTAATCACAATACTCATTACAATTAGTGAAATGATAATGTAACATATTCTTGAAACATTCTTTACAAATCATCATCCATAATATATTTCTTTGAATTTTATACTATTGTACTACTAGCTATACAACTTTAAGGAAAATAATACACTGAAAAAATTGGGTGCCTTCCAATTTTACTAAGGTCCTCCTCCACAAAATGTGTATGTTTTTCCTCTTGTATCACTATTCATGTATTGAGTAATTACACAGTTCCACAAATTTCTCTGAACCATTTATTTACCTGAAAATTTAATTAATTTAAAATAATTGAGCTGAATTTAGATTTTTTTTACAATCATTTCATCCTCAAAAATAACTCCATCTAGAGGAATATTGTGAGACAAATTGATTAACTTTCGAAGGAAAGTAGGAATCCTCAGATTTCTCCAGATTTTGATAATTTTTAAAAGGTTAAAATGTGACATGTTTTCAACTTCAGCTAGAGGAATCTACAATTTTATATGTTAAAATACTTATGTACTACAATCATATTCAACTTACAGGTAGGGAAAGTTGTAGCTTCCTTGATGCTTGACAAATTTATTTCTTGAGCTTTCCTGGAAAAACAAGTTTATTTTTCAAGTATTCTACCTATCATGTGAAAGTAAACCTTGAATAATTCATAGTGAGTATCAGATGATAATTATGCCAAAAATTCAATTACCAGTTATTTTCATTTATCTCCTTTTTTCCATATTGCCAATCACTGTGGATATTCAATAGCAACTTTCAATGCATATTTTCCATAAAATACTCTAATATAGCCTTGCAACATGGTTTCGATTAACAATTAATGGAGATTTAAACGTATCCACTCAGAATATTAAACATTATCTCTGAACCCTCTTCTTTATTTCTTTTCTATTTTCTACTTCAGATCTGTACAGCTCACATTTAGTCTTCATTTCTGAAATTTCAAAAGATCATTGCTGAGCTGTGATGAACCAGTAATACAACAAAAATAACACTACCTGTTTATAGGGAAGATATGTTTGAAAAATCCTGAGACATCCCTGATTGCCAAGTACCTTTATGCTTTAGAATGTGTAGGCTGTCCAAGAGCTAATATTTGCAAACATAAGTTTTATATATGTGTTTTATTATGTGTTTGCTATTGCTTCATCTACTCTACATATTTATAATGACCATCAGCTTTCAATACATCTTCCTCTGTCAAAGATCTATTTCTAGTTCACTGAAACATGAGAGCAAAGATGAAATTATACTATGAAGAGAAATATTATTAAATTTGTTTAACATACCTGCTTAGCATTCTCAATGATCCCAAGTCTACTGATATCATCACTATCATCAGTTGATGAAATGGATCATATTTTTTCCATGTGATATTCTTCGGTTTCCCATTATTAAAATTGAGAGTATCTGAAACAACCAAAAACTTCAATGAATAATAAATGCATTTTCGTAATTTCTGCAACAAAAATATTACATTACATAATAATTATTTGAATCACTAACCTGTGAGCCTGTGAGACCATTCAACGATTACCTTTCAATTACACCCAGAGTTGATTATTCTAGTTCATGTCCCTCAATTTCATTATTTGAGATATTTTATAAATACAATAAAAATAATTTTCCAATTTGACGGCCATATTGCGTTAAAAGTGATGACGTAGTTCTGATACCCTATCACGTGACCACGGCAGAAGATTTTGCGGGATCTGGCAATCCTTCTAGAGTTTATAATCCTTGGTTTTATGGAGGGTCCCTTGATAGAAATTGACGTTAAAGTCATCTTAACAGGGTACGGACAGATCCTCGTCTCCTCTCACTCTTAAGTGTTTGTGAAACAGTTATATAGTTCCATCCTTATTCAATTCTGGGGATAAACACTAGATTTTTGACATTAGTTGTTTTTTAGGTTATATTGAGGTCACTGGCGTATCATACGTAATTTCCATATGGAATTCCTGATTCAACTATACCAAGATATAGATAAACAATCCTCTAGTTTTATAGTTTACTACTCCAGCATAATCTTTGCGAGGTAAAGAACATATAAATTGTACTGAAAGTTCAATATATTTCACCAAAGGATACCAGGGTTGACTGAATTGACTAAATGGATTCTGATTTCAAGCTGAGAAGTAGTTTATCTATGAGCTGAATGAGCTGAGCCTTATTATTGAGAGATGGTGGAAACCTCGATGTGGGTATCTAGACTATACTGTACTCATGTAATATGTGCTAAATATATTTTCAGAAATCCAACTTGGAGAAGAATTTATGGAGTTACTAATATCACACTATGTATGAAACTTCGTCTAGGAAGAAAAGTGGGCTGATAAAAATTAATACGTAAAATGTGCAGGAAAATGAAGAATAGAATATATTTCACCCCTATGTTATACTTTTCGTCTCTTTTGAATAAAAAGTCATTTTCGAATAATATATTGATGAAAGTAACAAAGAAGTACACGCAGTATTACTTATAGGTAAGTACAGTCGAATTCAATAAATAAGCGTACAAGTATCAAAAAGAGAGGATTCGGAAGCCCAGTTCTAGTTGTGTAATACTGGCTCAGCCAATGCTTTGTGTATTTGAGAACCTATGACAACTTCACTGTCAACATTTGGCAAGCAATCATTCCCGATAGCCCGTTTTATGCAGAATACGATGACGTTAATTTCTCTCTGTAATATACTTGTACGGTTTTTTTTCTGAATGCGACTGTACGTTATTTTCACTCTTGCATCCTACATATTTTCTATTCGTGGTAGAGTAATAATTATATAAACTAATGTCTTTCGCCATATTGGATCCGTCATCTTGAGTTTTTCAATTTTGACGAAAGAATCATTATCCTCTACCCCGAAAACCCATAGATACCAATTTTGAATAGAATTGGATCTTCATTACAAAACTCGTCCACTATATAGGATCCGCCATCTTGAATTTTCCAAGCTTGACGAAACAATCATCATCTCCAACCCCGGAAAACCCCACATACCTCCCAATTTTGAAAAGAAATGGGTCATAATTTCAAAACTCGTTCGCCATATGATCTTCCTCAACAAGTGGATACCCTGTACATACCTATTATTAATAGTTATTTATGTATTGAGGGAATTATGAGGGCCTTAATTACCAATGGTAAAGTTTGCGTCCCGAGGGCCTCTGGCCCGAGGGACAGCAATTGCCTGAGGTTATTGAGGCTCAGTAATTCCCGTGATACATAGATAATTTTATTTCTGACTGATTTCATTCATTAGATACCTTCTCGATTGGAAGTTATACATGTTTTTCCGTATAGTTTCAATGTCATCAGTACGTCAGATGATGATCTTGACTACTGCGAATAGGAGATTCCTTATAGCTACGTTATTGCGTGGTTGTTGCTATGCATTTCTTATTTAATTTTAGCTAGAGGGAATTATAGCATCTATAACATCCCTAGGGAGTTATGACCCTCATTATAGATATCGTAACTATGACGATATAAGCTTATTATGTCACTGTCAGAAATAAAATTTTTAATGATTTTCTGTAGCGCCCATGGATGTGACGTGACAGCAATGTCAGGTATGCCAGTAGACAAAACTTAAATCTCTAGATCATTGAGGAAGAATGCAGCTATGATCTGTCCGTACCCTGTTGAGATGACTTTAACGTAAATTTCCATCAAGGGACCCTAGTTTTATGGATTTTCGTGCCTCGAAGTAGACAGGATAGTCTCGTGAGCGTGTAAGTAGCTATGCCTGTGGAACTGACCAACCCCGGATGAGGATGCACATCACGTGATCAACGTTTCCTGCTGTCTTTAAAATTCAAGTTGCGCAGGCAATTTCGAAGTTTTTTCTGGGTAGAATTTCTAAATGTTAGATTCTAGAAGGCGCAGGAGTTGCCCCTTCCTAGATTGGTGGCGTCGTTTCATCATTTCCTTCGGCCCCATCCTGGTATCATTCAAGATGCAGACCGATCACTATTTGGTAGTTTTTTCGTGTAGTGGGGCCTTTTCTGATCTCAGGGGTGAGTTTCACCTAATAGGGATAAAACCCTTCCTCATGGTTTTATTCTGGTGGCTATAAATATTGGTGTATTGCCGCAGACGGATACTCCGTCGGCTACTATGGGCAACACCTCGTGTAGTCGTCGTCCATTTTTGGATACGTCGTTTGATTCTACGCCGGCTAGTCCGATTGAGACTTTTGCTGTTGGGACCCGGAATTTCGACCTCGTCGTCTGGCTGCTGCTGCCTGACTTTCTGTCAGTTCTGGAGCTGCACATGCTGAGACTTCCATGCTGGACCTGCAAGCCTTCAAGGACATCTCCTGAGGAGTCCCGAATCCATCCTGGTTGCATGGCCCAGTCACCTGCTCCTGGCCTGAGTCTTCTCTGCAGTCATCTATGCAGCCCTCGCTGCAGCACCAGCTGAATCATCAAGGTCT